CTTCATTTTATGCATAAAACAGTGTATTTCATTTATGGAATTTAACTAAGCTTGCTTACTAAAATTAGTTAAGCAACCAATAATTCAGAAAAACAATTGCAATATATGATAGTGAGCTCACTTTGGGATGGAGGTGATGTAAGTACTTATTATCGCTCCAATACTAATGCTAATTAATTCAAAAGCTATATATTGAAAACATACCACTTAAAGTAATAAACAAATTTGTTGTTTGAAAATCGATAACTTCTTTAACATAATATAGGGATGATCATAATTGGCATCATCACTTTTAATTACCCAAGAATTATAGATTGAATCCATCAAATGTCTGTCAAAAGAAAACAAATGACTGAAACAAGAGTCTAAAATTAGATAAAAATTTATGGAATCTGAAAAGAATCCCAAGACATTACTTTAATACTGATGAACAACTTTAGGTCTCCAACTATACTACATGTTTTATCTAATAAAACAGATTAAAAAATTCATAGCTTACAATTTGACTATGTAAAATAATAGAATGCAATTTCAGCATGGATTGTTACCACATGTACATTTGATATTACAGAGGCTCAGAGAATTGCTTAAATTGTGTAATTACAAAAATGGTACATAATCTGAGCTGAGCAACAAATACCTCAAGACTGGGGGCTTCCCTGATAGCTCAGCTGGCAAAGAATCCTCCTGCAATGCGAGACCTGGGTTCAGTCCCTGGGTCGGGAAGATCCCCTGGAGGAGGGCATGGCAACCCCCTCCAGTGTCCGTGCCTGGAGAATCCGTGGACAGAGGAGCCTGGCGGGCTGCGGTCCACGGGGTCGCAGAGTCGGACGTGACTGAGAGACTAAGGACAGCACAGAGGATTTATCAGAGGAAAAAACAGACGAGAGGCAAATGAAGCCACAGGGTTTCCAGCATGAGTGACCATGAGAATGACACAGAGGACAGAGCAGGCGTCACAGTCTAGGAAGGGAAGATGATGAGCATCTAACAGGGCTTTAATGGGTTCACCTAGAAACAACCAACAGGCGTAACACTCCATTTAAAGGCAAACGGTGCTTTTTCACTTCCAAAACAAATGAGTTAGAATAACATTCCTTTAAAGAAAAAAACACCAAAAACAAACAAACAAAAGCAGAAAAACCAGTTGGTTTTAAATTTAAGGCTGCTTATTTAGTTGATCTTTCATTATAATGCTGTAACTCACAGAAATTTTACTTGAACGCCTACATGCTGACACAATTATTTCTCTTGGTCTGGAATCTGATCCACTGTATGCCAGAAAAAGACTCATGTCTTCCTCGACACCTCTGTATTTTTTACATCATCCTGACAAAGAAGAGTTACAAACTGTTCAGACCCCTTTCCACATGAAGGGTTCAAATAAATCCTGCACACATTCCTCTTCCATTATCTCCTGACAAAGACCTTTTTTTAGCTACTTTAGAAAATCAAAGCTATCCACCTTGAGTCTTTTCAGTGATCAGCAGGGGCTCTCAAATGTGGGGGAGACACAAATGACACCTTTTATAGGACCCAGTTTTCTCATTTTAGTATCTGGTAATAGGCATAACTAAAATAATTTGTTTTCCAGGTCACAATTTATTGTTTTTAAAACCGAGCCATAATTTTCGTAAAAAGTTATCAGCTTTGCATTAGGGAACAAGAAATCTTGTCCACAACACTTTTTAAATTGTTGGGATGAAAGAGTTCTGTATCATACACAGCAACAAAACACAGGACTTGCTGGAGATTTTGCTTAATAATCTAACAATATATTTATTTTGGATAAGAGGTATGTTATGACTAAAATGAAAATTTGATAGTATACTATTAAGAGAGAATTACAATGATAATAGGGCAGCAGTACCAAAATTCTATTTTGGTAGAAACAGAAATTCTATTTCAAAATTCTATTCCCAATATTGATAACAGGTTTCTTTTTTTCAAAGAATGCATTATATTAATGCTTCATTCTGTTTTCACAGATGCAAATCAAAGTTAATATTTAAGTATCTCTTTCCAAATGTTAGGGGAGGTAATGTATTTATTTTTATCAAACTGCTTGCAAACTGTTTAATCTTTAATCATTTGTTATTTGTTTTCTTATTTTGATGAAACAGAAATAGTATGACTAACATCATACTTATACCATAAGTATAAGTATTAGAAGCAAAATACAATTTTAAAATCATATATTAAATTAACTTAATATGTAAGAATTAATTATATATACCTGAGCCCAGATATTTTATGTATTTAAGAATAACGTGTTATTTCTCAAAGGTACACAACATGGTATAGTGGGAAGTTCCCCAAGTAAATATCAAAAATTCTGGACTCTGAAACTAATTCGGACTTCACTTAGAATTTGACTTTCAGTTTTAAAAAATAGAGAGAGAAATGTATTCTTATCTTCCCTATTGTGTAGGGTTGATATATATTGATCATTATAAATACTGAAGTATTTTGAGTATCAAGGACTCAGTGGACACAAATAACTCTTCCCTGCACTGAAAGAATGAATCATCTCCTCCTTTGCTATCTAGAAACTGTTACGGAACTTACAGTGTACTTGTGGCAAAATAATTTGTGACTATGTCTAGCCATACAGTTGACTTGAAGTTCCTTTTATTTCTAATAGAAAAACTAAATTTTTATTGACTTTAACATCAATGAAAAATATCTTCAGACGTAACTTTCAATAAATTACAGCATCATATTGTTATTGACAATTATTATTAACAACAAGGCAAACATTTTGGTGAATACAGAATATCATGAAAAAAAATCACAGAATGCAAAATAACACTTTATTCCTTTTGTTTATCAGTGTTTCCACAATTACTATATTATTTTACTCTCAATTTTTTTTCTCAATTTTTTAAATAATGATTTTTATACCTTGCCCATATGCACATAATTCATTTTTTCCCCCACTGAAAAAAAAACAACCAAGTATCCACAAACTTGTCTACCAATTTTTTTTAACCTAAGTTTTTTTCAAACGTTAATCCTTTGGTTAACTTCTGTCTCATTGTCTCTGCTTTTCCTCACTTTATCCTCTGAAAAAAATGGAATCTTTGGAAAATCTTTATACTCATTATTAGAAGTCTTTCATGTTTTCTTTTCCTCTCCCATTGAAAAGGACCTTGGTAACTAAGGGACATTCTTCTTTGTGTTATAACACTGATCATAATGTTTTGCTACAAGATGTACTGTACTACTCAAGCAATTTTCTATATTTCTCTAATTTGTATCTTTCACTCAGAACATAACATGGAGCAGAGATAATAAAGATTCAATAAAGAATCAAGTATAAAATCAGTTGTGTTTGCTATATGATAAAAGCTTCATCTGTTTTGCTCTGACTTCTTTTGAGACAGCCAGATACAATATATTATACTTTTGTGTTTTTATCACAACTACTCCTCGGTTGAAATAGTTATAAATACAGAACAGTATGTCCTTAGTAAGTATTGGTTTTTAGCATAGAAATATCCTTAAGATATGATCTGCTGAACTGTCATTAAAATGAGTCACCAGTCTACATGAAACCAGACTTACCAAGATGATTACTTGTCTTATTTTCATGCTTCTTCATTTAACTTTTCCTCTGCCAAAACTAACATCTTATTTTTTGGGGGGATGTTTTTACTAAGATAGTGGTATCAATTATTTCTCCAAAATCATCGTTTTATAAAATCCAAGAATATCTGTATTGAGTCTGTTGACTGATCTGACTGTGCAAGTTAGAATTTATAAGCTCATCAGCAGTATAATCCTTATTCAAGATTTGTTCATTCTCTATATGTTCAGGTGTTTATTGGTTTCAGAAACCAGAGTATCTACTACATTATTCTTGATGTCTTGTTCAGGAATTATCCAACTGTGAATCTCCATAGAAATTACTTGTGGCAAATGTTGACTTGTATCTTGCAGAAGCTTTTCCTTCCACCACTGCCACTGATGCCCCTTGCATATCTCATGATGACTGTCATAGTCCATACTGAGTTGTGTGACTGACCCCCTCCCCACCCCCCAAAAAAAATCACAGTGGCATTTTGACCTGGTTTATCTTTTCAAATCGGACTCTGTGAATGACTTGATAAAACACATGTGGATTACTAGATCTACTATGAAATATCTTTGTTGTTGGCCCTTTCACACTGTATTTTCTTAACAAGTTGTGGGAACGGGCTATAAGGGTAGATTTTAAGAGACAGTAATTGCTGCAATTAAGTGCCTCTGAAGAAGAGACTAGGTGTTTTGAATCTCCACATGCCTCTTTCACAGATAAAATGCTCAGGAAAGAGTAACTGATTAAATCAATAAATGAACAAATGATTGCTAAAACAATAAATAAAATAGCAAATATTATTAAAGAGTAGAAATAAGCCCTTTGTTACTAAAAGGTTGAAAGCACAGGCTTTTCAGTGAAAACTCTTCCCTTGATTTCACTAGTGTGAGAAATGTCACTAACAAACAGCTAGTAAACTATTAGCGGGCTCTCTGATTCTCTCCCCATCGAAAACAGAGCTCTCATTTGCTGTTTCTCCTTTTCCTTGGTTTCAATATGTCGACCCTGGTCAATTTCAGGCTACTGTGATGACGTCATTTAGGGAAAGCGACGGGCACACTCCGCGTCCTCCGGCGGCACGAGCCAGCGCGGGCGCATCACGCATCACCGTTCTTGTAGTGGCTTCCGCTCTACATCTGTTTTGACTCCCACTGTTGGTATTTTCTTTCCTATTTGGAAAATGTATTGCTAAACTCCAGGTAAGCAAACTTAATTTTGTGTTTGTTTTTTAATGAAATCTCAAGGGAGTTCGGAGTTAAAGTAGAGCTTGATAGATTGTTTGGATCAACTAAGTTCCAAAGAAATGCGCACGAGACAAACCATTCCACTGGTGGCTGATGAAATTCACTTAAGAGTTCTTCAGACTACTTAGTTTGGCTCAAGAACGGAGACAGAAAGAATGCAGGTGCCCTTTACTTACTCAATTGTGTTTCGATCCACTTTTCCTGTCATGTTGATGCCATAGAACTGCTGCATGGCGGCTAAGGCGGACTGCATGGTCTCCGCGGAGCGCAGCACCGACATCCGGGGGCCACTCGGCGGGAGGTACCCGTACTTCTGTAACCAAACCTGCAGTAACAAGCACAGTAACTCTCAGGTCGGCTTCACCATCTTACAGTGTTTTTATGGTAATCTGTTTATGTCTATAGGTGACTTTAAACTTCATTTCCTCTTTAAGGGCGTATCTTATTTAACTGCTTTGTCTTTGTTAGCTTTAAGGCTCTTTTTCATAATTTCATTGCTTGCTACAGATCTAACAGATCCACAAACTCTAATTGTAAAGAAAAAGATTAATCATTTGTCACAAGCTCAGACAGTATAAGGTACTACAGTAGATACTGGATAAAATCACAGATAAGATCATTTCTGCCCTCAAGGAACTCAGGGTCCCAAAATGAAGATATTTTTTTCAACAGTATGACCCCACTGAGGTCATATGCAGGAAGGGGAAGTTAAGGTACATGTGCCACATCTAAAGTGTCAGTTTCCTGACCAATCAGAGCACTGACCACAGCTCCCATAAGCATCATCACATGTGGCCAATTATTCTTTAATGACATTCAGGGTATGAATTCTATGCAACTGGTCTAGCCAAATGTAACTAGATATCTTCAAGAACAGAGGACTGTTTCTCATGCAAGGGATATCCTTTCACTTATTCACTGTGGTTCACCTCAAACCAAATCAAGCAAGTGACCAAACTTTTCACGTACAGATGGAATCAGACTGTTTTGTTAAGAATATCTGGCTCTCTCCTTAGGGATTTTCTTATTCCAACTCTGCTCAGTTCTAGGGAAGAGAGATTTAGGGGGATAGTGAGAGGAAGATGTCAGTGTTGAGCCTGCTCATGATTACAGCCAAAAATCAGAGTCATTTCAGGTTAGATTTGTTTTAAATAACCAAAACTTGGGTTATTTGAGGGGGTTGGGGAGAATCTCTACCACGGAGCAGATGGTTTCTAGTCTTACAATTCCATGCATTCATTTTAAATGCACAATTATATGCCCAGCCCATATCTTATTCCATTGTCTCTTATTTCAATCTTCCATAGAGCTCGAAGATTTCTTAAAGCGCAGTGAACTACCTGTCAAATGCAGAAAGGCCAAGTAATTCTGACTTTGAAACAGAATAAAAGTTTCTCTATTGAATGGAAGATATTCACCAGTATGTGTTTCCCCTCATACCTGAGCCTACTCATCATACAAATAATAATCCTATGAAATTGCAGCTTTCCCCCAATACCTGAGACAATTTCATTATGACCTTATGGAATTTATGACCTTAAAACACAAAAACTCTATTTTCTCACTGAACATAAACAGTATTTATAGAAGTTAAATTTCACCAAAAGAACTCAATATTAAATACATCAAAGTCTTAACATTTAAAATATAAGGTAGAATCTTTTGTGGTATGTCCAAGAAATCAATCCCCCCAAAATACAGCACAACCCCTTGAAAATAAGATAAAACATTTATTCTAAAACTACTTAAGAAATTACCAAATGCATCACTGTCAGGAAGGTTTATTGTTGAAACTCCATCTAGTAGATTCATCTACCACATAGTGAAAACATGTGAAGACACTCTTCTCATCTAACCTATAGTGAATAGGCTGCCAGTGAAGACACATATTTAGTATCCTAGTCAACTGAAATAGTGCAGTATGAAACAGACCTTCTTCCCCCTGAATGAAGGAGAAAGATTTAACTGGCAAGATATTATTTGCTAGGAAATTCAATATGATTGCCATTCAGTTTCACCCAAATTAGAAGATTCCATCGTGCTTTTTAACAGTACCCTTGCACAAATATTCTGAAATTGAACTCTTTATTTCCCCAAAACATTTTGTTTGCATCCATTCCTTATTTGCTATAGAGCTGATGTTGCTAGGTTACACATGGGTGCTAAGCTACTGGCAATCATGTTTATGAGAATTGCAAGAAGAAAATTGTTAATAAACCCTATGATTTATATATAAATAGAGAAACTATAAAATGTATAAATTTAAGTGCACAGTGAAAAACAGAATGTTCTAAAATATACATATTTGATTTATGACTTAGCCTTTCAAACAAATGAGTTAGAATTACATAAAAAAATGGTTGTATTTCTCCAAGTTTTATATCATATCATTCATCACAAAAGGCTTTTTTCCCAAATGAACGAGATGTGAAGAAATGTTTTTAATTGTAAAATATCAGAAAGGCTAGCTCTACCATTTTATGATCCTGACTAACAAACCAATGTCAATAAGATGATGGGTCACTTTGAGTTGACCTGATCATTTTTAATATCATTGTTGTATGTTAGTCAAGAAATTTTCTCTGACATCAACAGCTGACCAGGAGTAATTCTCAATTGAAATTTGCAATGCATCTCCCCACAAAAGAGTGGAAAATCAAGGATGACTCTGTTTGGTATCATATTAGAGTATGAAGCCAGCAAGCTCTCAATAGTATTTCTTATTGGAGTAAAACATGCTGTAGACAACCTTACCCCAGGTCAAGTTAAAAAGCAAGTGACTAAATCTACAATGCTTTCAAGTATAAATTTTATCTTGTATGCTTATATACATATATAGTATTCAATGTGGAAAATATAGATGAAAAGAAGTACCTGCTTAATTTTTTTTAATCACCAAGGGGTAACTTCTCTTGAGTTCACTTTTGCTTTATATTATTTCAATTAAGCTGTTGAAACCACAGCATTCTGAGAGTCTGATCATTTTTGGTATGATAGGGAAAAGGTCTATACAAAATAGTCCTAAGCAGTAAGAAGCTAATGTTCTCTGGATAAGAATAATTTGGTCAACACGGTGATGCAAAACTAGCCAAGTAAAAGCTGAACTGTACACTCAGCATCAAGGGAGGGAAACCTCTCTGGTCAAATCAGTGCTTTGTAAACACTGATACTTGTTACCACCAATGAATTAAGATCAGGTTCAAATAGTGAAGATCAGGAATAAACACTGACTTGAAATCATCATATAAGCATAGGAGTCTCTGGGATAAGTAAACTTATTTTCCCCTTATAGAATAAAACATGCTTATTGTACAAATAGAGCAAGATAGGTGCCTTAGCACTTCGTCATTCTGTAATAGTGAATGGGAAATTGGGATACAAAAAGAAGTGACACAGGAAACAACCTTCATTCATAACTCTCTTTTGCTTTCTACTAAATTATAATCTCTTATTTGATTAAGAAAAACTTAATCTACAAAGTAAAACTTGAAGGTATGCCTTATGCTACCAAGTCTATACTATAGACCTCCATCCTCATACATTTGTTATTTTAAATATATTCCTATTTTCAATATTAAAAAACATATTGCTTCTCCTGGATGATTGAAAATAAATTTGATCTATAATTGTTTGTGCCTTGATGCCTTTTTCAATGTTTTCAAATGCACATACTGGATAATCGAGGAAAATTTTCTTCATGGGTGTGCATTTGGGGGAAATGATAGTCAACTTGTACGGTCGATGTGAGGGTTGAGAATGTATAAAGTCACCAGCATAATGTTTGTTCAGTAAGTCATATTATTATTTTATGATTACTGACTTGTCTGAGCTCTTGAACTTTTTCCTAATGAAATTAAGATCTGTCCCTGGAATGAGCAAGACTGAAAATGGAAGTGAGATGTAAGTAGTCAGAATTGTGAGGAAAGGGAAACTACAGAGGATACAGAATCATATACTGCTTGACTAGTCCCCAAGTCCCAAACAAAAGGGTGGATATAAAACACGGCCATCGGTTTCTATTTTATTTTGCTCAAGGGATTGGCATGTGTATTTGAGAGCATAAAAAGTGTTGAGACAAAGGTTTCTCTGAGAGAAAACTTGACTCCTTTTACAGCCTATCTCATTACACCCAGAACAACCAACTACAGAAATTCAACTGGTTCAACACAATTTAAGCTTGAATTACATTCTCTCTGTATTACTAATATATTCAAATACCTTGCTGTCTTGGAGACAAAACCAATTTCCTCACTTAGTGATTATCTAAATGGAGGTACAACCAGAAGTCTGTTTTTTTTGCAGAGCAAGAAGATATATCAGGCAATAAAAGGCCAAACCTTTAATATTAAGTTCTGTACCAATAGATTTTTCCATTACTAGAGTGTGATATAAAGAAGGAAGAGCAGGCATTCAATATTTCAGTAAACTCTTTGGGAAAGAATGTCTTTGTCACTAATATATAGTGTAATCGTATAGTGAAAATCTATATTAGTTGATTCAGCTATGCTTATCCATATAGCAAGGTGGTACCCTGAAATATGGCTTTAAGCAGTAATAACAGCATAAAGGAGACATGAATAGTTCTTATGCCTAATGGAAAATGTAAGAGAGCACTTCTAGAATATATGCCCTTATTTCATCTCTCAGGCCAGTAATAAAATCTAGAGAAATAAATCTCGATCCAGCTGTTGAGACTAATAAGTTTTGTTATTGTTGTCTGAAGTCACATTTGAATTTTTGTGACCCCATAGACCACAGCATGCCAGCCTCCACTGTCCTCCACCATCTCCCGGACTTTGCTCAAAAATTCATGTCCATTGAGTTGGTGATGCTATCTAACCATTTCATCCTCTGTGCCCCCTTCTCCTTTTGCCTTCAATCTTTCTCACCTTCAGACTCTTTTCCAATCAGTCAGCTCTTTGCATCAGGTGGCCAAAGTCTTGGAGCTTCAGCTTCAGCATCAGTGCTTCCAGTGAATATTCAGGGTTGATTTCCTGTAGAACTCACTGGTTTGATCTCTTTGCAGTCCAAAGAACACTCAAGAGTCTTCTCCACCACCACAATTCCAAAGCATTAATTCTTTGGTGGTAAGCCTTTTTAATAGTCGAGCTCTCACATTCAGACATGTAGTTCAGTCACTGAGTCATGTCAGATCTTTGTGACTCAATGGACTGCAGCACCCCAGGCTTCCCTGTCCTTCACTATCTCCTGGAGTTTCCTCAATCTCATGTCCACTGAGCCAGTGATGCTATCCAACCATCACCAAATGTCAAAACCACAGCTTTGATTATATAGACCTTTGTTGGCAAAGTGGTATCTTTGACT